TATTGAACTCACGCGGTAGTGCCTTGAATACTGAGAGGAATTGTGCACGTGTGTCTTTCACGCCGTGCTCGTAGAGGTCGGCTTCTGCGTAGCAGAACCAGGCTTCGATGTTGTCTTGCCAGAAGGGCATTAGTTGGAACGAAGGTGGTGACATAGTCTTTAGCTTAAGTACCTTGGGTGTCTGTTCCGTCACATTAGTTTTGATGGACTCACCTAGGTGAAGTCACTCGGTCATGTAACCTTACCAGATCATGGGTGTGAATGCCATGCTCGACTTCCATTGCAATAGCCAGCCAGTCTAGATCAATCGATTCTCGATATATTGATGGACTATCAAATATATCATCGAACCTCCTCGCCTCTAACTTTTGGTTTTACTAGGTGGGTACGATTCATAGTAGATGTTACTGGTTAAAGCGTTGTCAAACTCCAAATACCTGTCGCACCTTCAGTGGCAAACATCTCGGTTTAGTTAGTGGATCCACATTCATTTTATTCTCAATGATGTCCTATGAAATACAGTAAAATTCTAAATGGGATTTCGACGGAAAAATGGGTTGTATTTGGATATCAAATCTATGCATTCTAGCAGAATAAAACAACACTGCATTCTTTTAAAAAACTGATAAAATGATGGATACATTAGCACTGTTTAGAACAGAATTTCTGAGTATAGATAGTTGTTTATAAATACTAGTAAGGTTGTGATGACGTTTGTAGTAGTTCTCCAAGTTTCAGCTCCATACAGCCGAACTGTCTTGACCTTCTTATTGAAGATCCTGACTTTGATACTATTTGAAAGTTGTTTTTAGTTCCATACGTTCCTCGACTGTAAGAATGCTATCCTTACTTAGCCAATCCTCGCCTTTACATCTGCATAAGATCCTCCTTGTTCATCGATGATGCTGACCAGGTACGTGAAAGTTTCCATCTCTTCCAGAGCCTCTCCATCAAGTGTGATTGGGTTGGTGCTGTCTGTTTGTACTTCAGGATCTTGCTTTTTCTCTTGAGTATGTTGAGGTCTATTAATACAGAGTCTACTGCTACACTAGCTTTCTTCATCTACATTTTTTGGTGTGTAATGGATAGGAGAGCTTTGTCATCTGAGAAGTCCAAATAATCTATCTCTATCCAAGCTGTCCATGGCATTCCGTGGAGGTCTTCATAATCCAGTCGACCACCAGAAGAAAGAGAAAGGAAATCAAGCATCCTTGCTTGACTTCGATCCTCACTTCAAATGCGTCTGGCATCTGTCCTCCATGTACCACTTTTCATTGCGGTCCGTTGTATTAATCCCGAATGACATTTAGGATCTCAGCTACTCACACTATAGTGTTTAATAAGGTCCCATAATATCCTCCTGTATACACTGTCAAATGCTTTCTCATTGTCAAGGAAGTTTATGTATAGTGACCAGTCTCGTTCAATTGACTGTTAAACGATGATCCATAGTGTCTCAATTTGGTCAATGCACCACGGTCGTTAGGAAATCCGGTTTGTTGATCTCGAAGTTTGGAGCCTACTCTAAGCCTGTGGATGTAACCAATGGGGTTATACAAAGAAGTGTGATTGACCCATTACTCTTTCTCGTTATCATCAATGACGTGTGTTCACCCTTTCAATGGGGTAAACCTTTCCTTACTTAAAAGTGGTTTATTAATTCCCTTCTCCTACCAAAGAAGCTATATTTCAGCGGTAATTCAAGAATAAATAAACAAGTTATATGAATGGACTGTTTCATGGAATCTGCCACTGAATGTTGACAAAAGTGGGTTTATTCAAATTGGCCGCTGCCTTAACCTAAATTTGGCTGTACACAAACATACATTGAAACCTCTCAACACTACGTGACTTGGGTTTGAAATATAGCAACAACTTAGACTTTTTCAAGCACATTACACTTCAAGTACCCAAAGCAAGAAAGCTCGTTGGATTCATAATGATAAATTTCAATAACATCGAATCGATATCATTACTACACAAAAATTATCATATTAATCATTGAATATAGCACACTAGTTTACAGTAATTGTAGGCGTATTGACTTGATGAAAACTGGTGTTCGAAGAAGTTTCACTAAGGCTGTTTCGGGGTATTCCGATAACTAGGATTATCACCAAATATATCAACAACTGAAGTTAGAACCTCTGTAGATCAGGCGCATTAAATTAAACCTTGTCTTTATCCACCGGCTTATAAACGGTATTTCTTATTTCTTGGTGTCCACCCCTTTTTAATCTATGATATCATCTCACAACCAACGCAATAAAGAAAATATTCTACGACACCTATGAAATTAGAGGGTTTATTGTTTGTCAGCAGTTAACTCGACTTTATTTATGAATTGTAGCAAGTCAGTTCCCTTAAATCCCTCAGATCATCCTGGCTAAGTGAGATAATAAATATCATAATGAGTGGAACAGCACTGACTATTGCAACAACGTAGTCATCAAATGATCGATACTTAATCTTAGGAAACTTTAATTCACTTACGGTAGGCTGGATGAATCTGATGAATGAATTGTCAGAGAATTCTTTCGAACAGAGACCAGTTGATGCCGTTATCGCATATGCCTTAGTGCAACATGTGAAAGAAGCACCCCGGATTCCGAATCATCCTTACATGGTCTCATGTTAACCCATTATGAGGATGATGTCACAAACTCGACTAAGTGCCACTCCTAGGCAAAAGTGACCACGCAGTTCCAGTCTTTGGTTTCCAAATAGTTACCAATAGCGTGGATGAGTCATCACAAGTCAGACCAAATGTCTGGAAGGCGAACATGCAAAATATTATACACTCATCATCCTCTGTAGGTTGATCACAGAACCAGAATCCCTCATAGTAATGGCTGGGGTTGTATTCAGAAATTTGTATATAGGAGTCACTGCATCGCACATCCCTTGCAATACACTAAGGAGTCGGAAATAGTCTCATTGTGGTTCAGTAAGAGGTTCACACCCTTCTCCGGAAGAGAATAAGAATGTGAGAGTGATTTATTGACGAAATTTTAATATCGAGAAGCTCGAAATATTTGTACCTCGATCCTCCACGACTTTCGGAAGTTACACAAAGAGCAACTTGTTAGTGAATCTATAGATTACTTAAACACACTGGCACATAGAACAAAGGACTAAGGGAAAAGAAAACATTTCAGCGTTGTTGGGAGACCGTAGTAATGCATCAATATCCAAGGCCAATTATGCTATAGCTCATATACTTTCAAAATACTCAAGAAATGTACGTAACAAAAAGGTGCCATCCTCTTCAGTCCATACGAACCCAACCGCACACACACTGGATACTGTGACCATCAAGGAACTTGGTGTCGTTGATACGAGCAAATCCATGGGACCCGGTGAAATGCATCCTAGGTTACGAAAGAAATCAGTAGATTTCGTTGAGAATCTCTTAAGCACATGTTTTAATCTATCTGTAGCCCAGGTTGGACCACTAAAAGACTAGAAGAATACTGTAGCAGTTCCTATCTTCAAAACAAGTATGAGGTATAAACCCGGGAACTATTGACCCGTAAGCCTAACCAGCGTGGTCTTTAAAATTTTAGAAAAGATTCGGAAGTTGTTTAGGTATCTCGGCCAAAACCGGATTCTCTCTGAAAAGCAGCATTGTTTTAACAAAAGTTGTTCATGTTTCATTAACTTATTAGTAACCAGTGAAAGTTGGTGTGTTCATAAAGATCAAACGTTGCCTATAGACCTAGCCTTTATTGGTTTCAGCAAGGCTTTTGACAAAATTCTTTACAACCGGCTTTTATGCAAGGTAAGTAATATCGAGATTGGAGGCAATTTAATAATGTGGACAAAGGACTTCCTAGTTGCGCATCAAAAAGAGTACGGGCGAACTCCAAGTTGTCTATCTTGGAAACGATGATGGGCGGAGTGTTTCAGGGTACAGTTTTGGGGACAATGTTGTTCCTCCTGTATGTAAATGACCTTCCTAGTCTCTTATCATTATCGGTTTTGCTATATGCTTACTATATTAAGATATAGAAAGTGACAGTTTAGAACCTCAAACTGACTTACGGAGATTATGTGACTGGTCTGTGACTTGGCAGTCTCCAGTAAATGCTTCCAATTGTATTATGATGCATCTTGGTCACCAAGGTACAGATACATACATAAATAACACTGAGCTACCAGTTGCCCAGACACACACTGGCTTAGAAATGTTCGTTAATCAAGGGACAGCGAGTTGTTGGAAAAGGTTCGGAGAACCGCAACTAAGCTGAATCTCGGGATAGTAAGGTTTCCGTCTGATGCACGACTGGCTAAACTAAACTTATTTCCATTGTCATATAGAAGAACGGCAGGCAACTTTACCACAGTTTTAGATTAGTTAGTAGTAAATTTGTATCTGATTCGCCCTCACTTATCTGGTTTTCCAAAACAGAAGATTCACTAGGACACCCCATAAACGTCCACAACCACAAAACAAATTATTTGTCACCTGATTATCGACTTTCCTATCGAATCGTCGACGAATGGAATTAATTAACTTAACATGTGATTGGAGCTCGATCTATCGACATTTAAGAAGAAAATTTAAGCAACTGAAAGACCACCATTACCAGGACTAACACAGACCATCTAGTTTCCTGTCCGTTCGAAAGTGAAACAGAATTTACTTCAGCAATATGAAGTATTGTCCACTCAATGATCTTTTTGCATATATAAGGCTTAGTAACATTGGTGCGTCTTCTCGGCTGAGGCCTATAGTGGTTAGTCAATTTCGAGATGATGTTTCCGGAGTCAGTCATACTTCGGGATGAGGTTCATAAATGAAGACTGTATTGAAGTAACCTGCCGTGACATGCCACTGCCTTGAAAACCTCATCGGTATATATGTTATCTTGACAATGTTGTGATAAGATTATTCTAAGAACTGAAAATGTGCACGGTAATCTCTACTTAAGCTCCTTGTCTGTCGTCTCTCAGTATGACAATTTGTTTCAACGCATCGAATTGTAACTCTGTGTAGCAGGCGGGCCGTAAGGATTACGAAAAATGAGGTTTGATTCTTGGTTTTTGCTTCAGCTTGATTTTATACAGTTCTCCAGATAGGATGGAAATAAAGAAGACAAAGTCAAAACTAGCAGATCTGGCTAAAGAGGTATTTCATTGTAGTATAATTACCCGGGTTTTAAGATTGCATCATGGGAAGATGACTTGAGACGCATTCCCTTACATAAAGAACCAGAGAAATCTATTAGAAATTCAGCTGTCAAGTTTAACAGAGTATGTCATTTTTCATTGAGCGAAATTTGTAGGATAGCCTAGCTGACCACCACAATCTACCCGTCTTTGCAAGGAAGGCTCGATGGGAGCGTCTAATGAATGATGGCTCACGTCACACTGAACATGCTGTAGTTGGTGATACAAATAAAGCTGTAAGTAGTTTTCCTGCCCCTCGGTTTTTATGGCTTTCTGAAACATGATATCCACTGTCCATATGTGATTTTTATGCAAATGCAAACATTTTAAATAATATCCGCCACATATATCATCAGCGAAGTATATTTTTCACAAACCTGAAAAACATTTAACGTCTAACTTTGTTCTTTTTAATGGATATCGATAAAGGTTTTACAGGTTGTCCAACAGACAATGTGACATCAGAAAGTTCGGTTTTTGCATAATACCATTTACCAATCTATCGAGTCTTTCCAATTCCTACCGCTTCGTGATATATCTTCACATACAGTATCTTCATATTCATTATGAGCCGGACAGTTATATTAACATTTTTCGTGTTATTGTCGTAGTTTTATCACTGATTACCCATTTGAGTGTTTCTGATTGCTTAAGCATTTTCATGACAGTCCAGTATTATGAGCCGCTGGTTTAGTCGTTATCACGTAGTTGGCCAATATACCACATTTTGTTGCTAACTTTTTGAGCATTAATTCAGGGAAGGATTTGGAAAGTGCCTTCTATTTGTGTGGAAGGGATAGGGCTTGTTTAAACATTTCGATTATCATGACTTGAATAGTTGAAATTCAGCCAAGGACTTAATGTTTAGAGTAATACATGCTCTTTAGTTAGTAAAGCGTAGTTGATCCACTGGCTAAGGCCTGCTAACTTATGGTTAAGGGTCATTACCTGGACAATAATCTGGTTATTACTGTTTGTGGAGTCTTAGATTGGTTTCATCTGAATTATCTGCTAATCCTAATTGGTATACTTTCTATCTGAACACAAAAATTGGTATAAAGGGGCACCAAATACATATACGCCATACAATAACAATGGAAATGTGAGGAGAATGCAAAGTGTGTACAAGAAAAAGAACAACAACGAACAGAAATTAATGAAATACCTATCTGAACTCTGATCATGTGCTTGTTTGCGGTAATCTTACCCTACTTTTCAATGCCCAGCAAATTCATCGTCCTAAACGGATTGATGTCAGCAAATTGGTTGCAGCTTCTGTTACAACTAAATATCAAACTGAGCTAGGTTCAAGGCTAGCTACCATCCTACCGAGAAATATAGATGAGTATTGATTACAGTTGCATGACGCCATGAAAATGGCGAGTAAAGTTGCTTGCGACTCCGTGAAATGTCTCACTTATAAGCACTGGGTTTCTTCTGGTTCCTTACAACTCACTGAAGCCTGTCGGTCTACTCCGGGTGGCCGTGAATTTGACCACAAACGAAGACTGTTACGTAGTAAAATTGCGTGAAGACCGAGAAGCCTAATAGTCGGAGCGTGCTAATGATTTGGAAGCAGCAGCTGCTTCTGGTAACTACCGGAAGGTCTTTCAACTCGCCCGAGCCACTGGCACCAAGAAGTCTGGTTAGAGTGAAACAATCTGTGAGGATGACGGGATGCCAATCACTAGCACCTATCGGCGTCTTGGACGATGGGCAGAGTTTTTCGAGGAGTAGTTCAACTGGTTTGCTACTGCAGCAATATCGATCAGACTGTCCTGCCCTCCATGGCCTGTGACGACTGATCCACCAAACGAGGCGGAAGTCCGCAAGGAACTCCAACTATCGAAGCGCTGTAAAAGGTCGGATCTACAACGCGTCGATGGGAGCAGTTCTACTCAATGCTTGTGAAACCTAGTTTCCCCGAGTTCAGGATGTTAAATAACTCTCTGTGTTTGATCATTGTTTCCGAAGGATTGCTGATATCCAGTGGCAACACCATGTTAGTAATGCAGAGGTTTGGCATCGTGTGTTTGGGCACAGCGACGATAATTCAATTAGTGTCACTATCTTGCATCTACTTCGATGGTTTGAACATGTTTTACGAATGTCGTCTCAGAGAATCTCACGTCGTGCATTATTTGTTAATGCTGGGACTGGTCAGAAAAAGCGGAGGTGATCACTGTATGATATGGTGTCGTGTTTTGAAAGAATAGTGTGCAGGACTGTCTTCTGTTGGTCCTTCACGACTCCCTGGCTGGGGTCCGAGAGACGGTGCTACACAGTGGCTAGAGACTTTATTAGATATGGCTCAGGATAGAAGCCAGTGGCGATCTTGCTGTAACCTTCTTTTACTTTCGTAACAAAAAATGGACGTAACTTCATTAACTGAAAGAATTCTTTCTGGTAGTAATAAACAGAGCACTATCCAGGTAATGATGTGATCAATGAGTCCAGGCTAGAGATGTAGAGAAAGGACGCCAGGTGTCACATCGGCGATGACTGTGCTTGTAGTTAGTGCTAACCAGAAACAGGTTCTGGTCTGCAGCAGACGGTACCTGTTACCTGATCTGCCACCAACAAGTCCTCATCGGCCACCTAAACGACTCCCCTCTGTGCCTAGACGCCCGACCTGAACATTCAAGTCTCCGACTAGTATCACAATATCTGTTGAACGCGCTTTCTGTAAAAAAACAGTTTATTGCTGGTAAAAATCATCCTTGATCACATCCGGGCTGCAATCTGTCGGGAAATAAGCGGAGATGACTAGAAGACATCGTTTCGGACACCGATTTCTCAATTTGCTTGAACTTTCCAACCTAAAAGTACATAACCAACTGTTATTGGGGATCCAGTCGACCAGTGCTGCCTCAGCTTTAGCGCTTAGTCCCCGGATAAACGTGGGTGAAACAAGCTTTTCAAAGCGACAGATGGGGAACGAATTGGTAATTACGGATCCCGGATAGACAACAGGCGCCGATATTAAGTTTACTTAAATGTATAGCCAAACCTATCTGTTGTCCGATCTGCATTAGTATGCGAACGTTGAAGGAAGCCAGTTTGAATGTCATACGTGGTTTCAGAAAGACTGTTTCAGTATTCGTATTCGGTGATGGCATTCAACTTTCGATCAATCAGTGACTTGAGATCGTCTAGATATAACAGGGTTTTCACCATAGGCGAGCTGCTGTATAAGTTGTAAAATAAGGATACACAAAGTGAAAGTAGAAGAGAATAGATAAATGACGTATATAAAAAAGTGGATGCGAATTGTCTGAATTTTAGTTGAAGCAAGAATAATGTTTCCAGTAGTAATTGTCATTTCACTTGATTTGTATGTAGGCTGTGATACTACACCGGTGCCCAGACTGAAGCAGGTGGTTTTTTTAGGAGGCCGCACCCAGAGCCTTCGACCTAAAGGTCTGATCCAAAAAGCAGTGGAACAACATCAGGCGATGCAGCCCCATGGTAGCTGGTGACCAATATTTGGTTCATACAGGATATTAGGGCCCATGTGCACTATCGGTTCCCAATTAGGTTTCCCAACTCCCCTAGGTAGACACGAAGGGTCCACCAAGCTGGACGTTCGCTTTTCGCCCTCTCAGTTTCTTAAACAACAGTAATAGCGCGAGAAGGCGGTGAGTAGGATTTCCATGGAAGTGGTTGTATATCCGTGGTCATGTGGGAGCATTTCGTGAAGGAGACTGAACTCTCCCCACCTTTGGCCGTACCAAAGCATTTAGGGGCAATTGGCGTGTAGGTATGAATATCCTCATGTGTTTTGTTTGCGTAGTATCGATCTGTTTATTTTGTGGCTTAGCTTTGAAGCTCAGGGGTTTGGTGGTTTAGCCTCTAACTTTTGAGTCGTAAACTTGGACGACCGTCCATGCTATTCTGCTGACTACCGGGTAGTATGCAAGTGCGCATTTGACTCTGGATCGAATGTTTTGTGCAAGGGACGACTATACTTCTCGGGTGGTCAAACTTGTAATCTAATATTTAGAATAGTTGTGGTGATCAAGCTACCACTACACTTCAGTGTAAGCAGCTTACTGTTTCACTAAAGCTTCACGGTATAATCATTAATAAAAGCTGATTCTAAAATGTTACACACCGAGGTCAGTCAGTCAGTCAGTCAGCCACAACGTAGGACCAGGCACATATGTGCATCGGTCCAAGTTGCCATACCTCATTAGCACAGCAAGATGAACAGCGGATTCATAGGAGTGGTTAGGTCAAAGGTTGCAATAAGGATATAGTATAGGAAGAAAGAATTAGTTCGTAGACAGAAAGAATGAAGTGATTTTAGTCTCTTAGTTTAAGGGAAGACAGGGAGTGTATACACCGACGCCATTGTGATCGATTCTGAGCCATGTCACCAAGAGTCTCCAACCATTGGTTATGAAAGTCACGCGGACCCCAACCAAGTAGTCTGCATCTACCAACATGGCTCAGACTAGAAGTTAGTGACTTCAGGCACTGATGCCACGTTTTGGTTTGGCAGCCCCTAACTTTCTTCCAACCATCCCCTACCCCGGTTAGCATTGCACGTCGTGGTAATCGGTGTTCAGGCATACGTAATACGTGGCCCAACCATCTCAGTCGATGAAGATTCATAACCTCATCAACTGATTTACCATCATTCCCTAATACCCTGCGTCTAACCTCACTATTACTTACCCGGTGATCCCAGCAGACACCAGCAATATTTCTAAGGTATCTGTGGTCAAATACTAGTAACTTACGGGTGTCTTCTACTCTTAAGGGCCATGTTTCGCTGCCGTAAATTAAAACAGAACGAACTGCCGCGCAGTATACTCGTCCTTTTATTGATAGACGGATATCTCGCCTTCGCCAAAGGTGACGTAAGTTGGCAAAAGTCAAACGTGCTTTTCGAATCCGTGCTGAGATTTCGTCAGACACCAACCCATTAGGGCTGATCAGACTTCCAAGATAAGTGAAGTTGTCAACGCGTTCAACTACTTCACTCCCTATCCTTAGTTCAGGTGTTGACCCAGACCAGTCCTGAAGAAACAACTTGCATTCAGAGGGAGAGAAGCGCATCCCAAACATTCTGGCATTGTTGCTTAGTGCTACCAGAAGACTCTGCATTTTGTCAGCGTCTTCACCAAACAGGACTATGTCATCTGCGTATTCTAAGTCGATAAGTGGACCTCCTGGAAGGAGATCAATACCCGAGAATTCAGTCGACGAGAGTGTTATTTCCATCAATAGGTCTATGATGAAGTTAAACAGAAATGGAGAAAGTGGACAGCCTTGACGGACACCACTTGAGGTTGCAAAAGCCGATGACAGTTCGCCATAAGCCCTGACTCGACTAGTAGTGTTCGAGTAAAGAGCCTTTACAAGGTTTATGTACTTCTGAGGTACGCCTTTCAATGATAGACACTGCCACAGAGTCTCGCGGTCTACCGAGTCAAATGCTGCTTTTAAGTCAAGAAATACCACCATCGTCGGACGCCGATAGGTATGCCTGTGTTCTAGAACCTGACGAATGGTGAATATGTGGTCGATGCAGCCACGACCAGGTCTAAAGCCAGCTTGGTTCTCTCGAGTTTGTTCTACTTCACATATATTAGGTTAGGACAAGGCTAGTGATTGTCGTGTTGAAACCTGTTATCACTCCACAAAACTATTGGTTGTCCAGTTGAGACATTTTGAAAGGGTTCAAAGTTCACGATCCAGTGAATGAAGGCTGAACCTCTAAATCATTAGACCACTGGGCAATTTGTAACTTTTAGGGCGTTCATCCCTTTGCTTGGGCGTCATCTATCAATTTATTTTTATAAATTGCCTTAGTAATACTTACTATTATGGACCTACCTATGGTCGCCAGTTTTTTGCAAGTTTTTTCTGTATTATGCGAAGTGGTTAGTGTGTAACAGTTGTTTGTTCCAAAATACACAGAGCAGATTGTTCAAGACTTTTGGTTTGTCCTATTTTTTCTATGAATTTGTTCACTGAAATAGCCAACATCCATCAAACGTTTCTATACAAATTATTGTGTTTTCTAATTGATATTTTTCCTTACTTATTCTTCTAGCCTTCATTAATTCAACAATCTGTGGCACCCAAAATCCAATCAGGTCAGGGTACTAGAGAAAAAGTCCTTACTTCTGTCACGTGTACCAAGGCTGACGTCCCCAGGGGAAGTTTAAGTCATGCTGAGAGAGAAAGGCTTGAGCGAATGCGAGAGCTGGCTGAATTACGCCGATCCCGTCGACCAGTTATACCAACTCCTAATTTAGGTTCAGTATCTTCTGCAGACCCTCATGATTTAGAACCGGAAAAAGTTTCATCCAGTTTTGTTTCAAGACAGGTTTGTGAGCACAATTCGTATTTTAAATTAGTGATATGTAGCTTCGCATCAACACTTTGATACAAATCTGATCCATTTACTGCATATTCTTTGTAAATTGACGCATAATTTAAAACAGACTTCTGAAATTTTTACATTTTAAAACAGTAAAATTAATTTATTGTTAGCATACACATTGCTCACTTTCTCCAAATGGTGTTTGTTAAAGTTGTTTACCTTCCCCATTTCGATTCAAACTCATGTTTGTACTTCTACGAGTAACACTATGCCCAACTCCTCAGGAACTTATTTAATGTATTTCTCATTGACTTTGATTATGGAGATGTAGTTTTACTTATCGAAGATGGTGGCAAAACAAAGTTCAAACACATTGATCGGGAGCGTACTAATGTTTAAATCTGGTCCGTTCATCCCATTTTAAAACACGAAGTGGCATTTTAGGTTTGATCTTTATCATTGTTTAGTTTAACGGTATGGATCAAAATAATTAAGGGAATCTACCGTTTTATCTACCTCCTTAGTTTGACAGCAATAGTGAGTTGTTCTCCATGAACACATAAATAGGACTCGCTTGGTTTTATCAAACCGAGATTTGTCTGCGCTACAAAGGTGAAGTATGTGAACCGATAGTTCTAATGACAGTCAATAGTTTTGCTTTTTTATTGATAAGAAAAATGTACGAATTTTGAGAGAAGTTATTATAAGCATTAAAAAGGACTGTTGCTCCTATATACTTGGCAACATTTTTCATTTTGATTTGTCTCCACAATAACAACTCCAGCGCTTTCTCTTTTACAGGAGGATGATTTCTTGTTACCACCCCCTCCATCACCCCCGAATATTTCGGCAATTGAGAACCCACTAGTTACTTCGCCCCGCGGTACTCCCTGCGACAACTGTCAGCCTGTTTTAACGGAAGTTGTAATGTGTGATGATGCTACTGTCCCGCATCCCAGTCCTCCAAAGGTATATGTAAGATCGCTTTATTCACGTTGTCAGTTACTTTGTGACGCATTTCTATGTTTACGTTTTTATTTTGGGTAGGACTGAGTTTGTAATTAACAACCTATTAAGTACTTCCAACTAATCTTTATGCTTTCACTCTTTTACAATAAGCAGATGTAAACAATTGAACAGGATTGATACACTTCACAATGGTGGACAAAGAGGAAATCGACAAAAGCGGTGGGCTACTCAAATTACATAACATTAATGATTTGATGAAGGAAAATGAGTGAAAACTCATAAGACGTTGAGAAAAAATCCATTCATACTACGTTTCTAGTCCAAACTTCATCATTTCCATAAATTTTAGCAGGACTTTGTAAATTGAGTGAATTATTTGACATATTGGTACAGTCATTCCTAAATCAATTACTTTTTGCAATATATTCTACCATTTTTTGTGGGCAAATATCCCAATAAAAGATATAACTACTGATAGGTGTTTAACAAACTTCCTTTTAGATAAGGATTCAACTAAAGAGTTATTCACATATATACTTGGTTGAATTTAATAAACTCAAGTTGTTACTTCAATTCACGTACTTTAATCTGAACTGTCAAGTAGTATCGCACAAATGATGTGACTCAAAGCCAAGTTCATAAATATGTGTTTGGTAAATGAATTACTTTATTGTACGATTTTACGGAACAAAAATATATTCAATGTGTATTTTCCGTTTTTAAGTAATCGAATATTGCGAATATAACGATCTTCTGGATTGAATAATGTGGAATATAAAATAAATTAAATCAATTTTTTTCATGCAATATTCTATCGTATTTCATTGATATTAGGATATGGAACTTGATGAAGCTAATTCTTCAAGCAACAACACTTTCATCAGTAATACACAATCTCCAAATATTCATAATGTCAATTCAACGAATGTAAATCAAACAGAGTTGGAAGAAGTTATGCAAACAACCGTATCAACAACTCCAAGTAATTTCAAATTTTTTTATTGATAAAATCGTGTTTAGATCATATCTTTGTTTCTGTTCAAATAAATTTGTTGGATTATCCAACTGTTATGTGATGATATAACTGAAGTTATGTACACGTCCATACACAGAGTTGTGATCAGTTTCTGTGGGGTTGTGGCTTAGGAGTTTAAGTATTTGACTTTTAACTGGTATATCACAGGTACGAACTCCAATCCACCCCTTTCTGTTTTGAAAATACGGGTAGTACCATCAGTCTTCACAAATGGTTTAACTCAAAGTCTACTGCATAATCGTGAATATAGTAAATAAGCGAAATTCGTTCAGGGTGTAGCAATTAGGTCCAATTCGGAATAGTAACTTAAAAAGTGTAAATCAATCTTCATAACCTATTTATCTTCCTCATACTTTCACTAGACATAATAGCCCTTGTTGCGACCAAGTATCTCCCACTTTTCCTTATTAATTTTATTTATAGAATCAAAACGGTCTTTCGTTGTGTTGAAAATTTCAACTTCACATCATTTATCTCTCCTATTGAGGTCTTTACTTAAATCCTGATTCGAATTACGAATGATGTTCTACTAAACATTCAAACGTCTGTTTAAAGGTCATGGTTATTGTACACAGATAAAATCCACGTGTGGCTATTTACTAGATTTCATGTAAGATGGTAGCTGTGTGCTATTTGCTTTATTAGTGGATATGCCTCATTTATCAGTATATTACACAAAACTGATAATTATTACAAGTATAAGTAATAGTTTTATTATAATTATGAACTAACGTTTTGCCTATTAATTTCGAGAAATACTATGATAAGATTGTAGAATTAAGAGCTAACGTAAAGTTTACTAAATTACACACACTTTCAATCAATTCAACACAAGCTTAGACTCTACTTCACTTCGAATTATGTGGCTACCCATCATCATCGCCCATCAAGGTAGGCGGTGGATGGGCACATGTAATACATGTTATGGCCATACCAGTTGATAAAGAATTATTATTTCATCAATCGATTTTCCATCTTTACCCGGTATCTTCCATCTAATCTCAAAATTACCAACTGGATGGTTTCAACATATATGGGGAATAATTTGAATGCATTTATAATTGAGTATTAATAACCTACCAATATCTATCTTTAAAGAGCTCGTTTCACACATAAAGTAGAATGTAGAGGACTGCTGCATAGTATGTTCGTCCTTTGGTTGGTAGACACAGACATCTTACGTACGCCAAAAGTGATCCAAGATGGCGAAAACTAAACTTGCTTTCCGAGTTCGTGTCGAGATTTCGTCAGACGCCGACCCATCGTGGCTGATAAGACTTCCAAGATAGGTAAAGTAACCGACTTTTAACTACTCAATTCTTTATAGTTAGTTTAGAGGTTGACACAGACCAGTTCCAAATCAACATTTTGGTTTTAGAGTAAAACCTATCTTAAAACATGCTTGCACTGTTTCCTAAGTGGGTTAGGAGATTTCTTTTTTTTAATGTTTTCGCTATACAGGATTATATCATCTGCGTGTTGTAAATTAACAACTGAATCTCCTTGGAGGAGATCAATCCCAGTATTTGCATTACAAGGCAAGCCGGCGGACGAGGTTAAGCAAATTCAAAACAGGAGGAGGAAATATAGGTAGCTTCTTTAATCTCAGTTTAGAAACCGTTGCAGAAATTATACTGCAAAGAACAGGTATTACGCATAGTCTTAGCTCAGTGATCTGATAAGTGAACTTATTTCTAAGAATCATTTCTTCGACTCTCTATTAGAAACGGTTTTACAAAGGTTAAACATAATCACATCATGATGTGGAATTATACTATTAAGTTATTTTCTATTATTCGGAGCCATATGCGAAGTATGGTCCATTAGAGTGAGGCTCTCAGGGTTAAGAAAACTAGTTATTGCCAGTGCTAAAGGATATAGATGACAATAATTCAGTCCAATTCATCTTTCATCGTTTTCTAGTTCATAAACATTTTTTAGTATTCTGTTTACCACTACTATCGGAGTTAATCGTTCTTGGCTGATCAATCTCCTTTTGTATTGATGTAAAGTCAGGAAACTTGAATCGTTCATTTGTATAAGATTATATACTATATGTGTCTGATCCCAGATGATTCTTATCCATCTATCAGTTAAACTGTTAACTTTCTCACTAATAAGGCTCTAAAATCCCACTTTATTTCATTTTGTGACAGCCATTGCACATCCCTATTATTCACGTCCTAAAATTGGTGTTAAACGTCGATCATCATTTTCGGAAAGCTCAGTCGATACCTTCCATCAAATTATTCCGAGACAAAGATCAGTCACATTTCAAAGGACCACTTCTGATATTACAGATGAAAGTGAAACTGACTTCAACTATGATGATGATGATGAAGATTGTCCAACATCTTCAGAGTTTTCCAGTCAATATGAATATTTACCAGAACGAGAAAAACATGGGGATAAAATAACACAAAAAATGGATTCCGAAAGTAAGCAAATCATTATTATGCTGATACATCATAATTGATGTCATTTTCTAAAAGTTTTTGTATAAATACTGACAATATTGTCCGTGTGCTTAGATCGCAGAGAGCAAAATTTATTGGAACCCGTAATCAATCTGACGTTTAGTGATTTAAGCCGTTGATTTCTGACAAATGAGTCACGATGTATTTTGAACTCTACTGCACCTACTAGGCCTCAGTTTAGTTTTAGAAACTGCATAGTTATCTAGTCATTTATTTAGTTTAGTTTACAGATAGTCAAATGCTTGTGCAGCATAATTTAATAATTTTGAGGTCACTTTTTTCTTTGGTCTGAACACATTGTTAATCGTATTATTCAACCGTTTACATAGTCTAATAATTGATGAATTTGACTTCATCATTCTCATGCCATCTCAATCTCTACTTTTGTGGTTAAAAATATCTTATGAGTTGATAGAATTGTTAATTACTGTATTAAAAGTTTGATACCTTGGTTGAAATTTAGACTTGACGTGATTACTTAGTGAGGCTTGATTAACCTCAGGGCTGGTAACGCCGCACAAATAAGAGAGGTACGGCGTGACAAATGAGATGGGAAATAAATATAGGCCTTGTATAAAATACAACTTGTGAACACAAATCTGAGTAAAATAAATGATGATAAAGGAGCAGAGCGCATATTTTCTCAATAATCTGTTTCCATATTTTCCAGGCGCTGGTGATTCTGAGTTGTCTGATTTTTTGGATACTATAATTCCAAGTGATGAATTAAATAATGAATTATCCAGTTTATCTTCACAAGATCAAAGTAATAATAAAGAGAATCATCCTGATCATCGTTATCATCAACCATATTTTTCAAAAGATGATAGCGATTTATTGAGTGAGTTGTGATATAATTTTACTCGTTGTGTTTTATGCTTGTTTGTTTCTTCCAATTACTAAGCTTTTTAACTAAGTAGTTTATTTTCATAGTTTAAATCACGAATTGATCTTATCAAAACCACCATCGGAAACCCGTAAGGACTGAACGTGTTTCGTCGCATTTGGGGACTCAGCAGTGTGAGCATTCACAACCCCCTCATCTGGGAATCGAATACAGCTAATAAGTCATTTACTAAAACGAAACGACTGTCCAGTGCTTCTAGGTTTTCAGTGGTAGTTTGGCTTTGATTAGTTTGTGATTAAAACTATGAAAACTCGACAATTTCCACACCCCCATACACTAATAAGTAATTTATTCTTTTTTTAAATAAAGATCTTTTTATTTCGGATTAAAATGTGAGATACTATGATAAAAACACAGAAAATATACTGGCAGGTATATTACGGCCACAGAAGGACAAGAGAGATTTCATCCATAAGTTTATTTGCTCTTGCAGGTCCAGGTTATATTAGTCACTCAAAAAGTGAACACATCTCAGAGCATTACTTGGCTCGGATTTTAAACGGAGAATACAAAACGATCGGTACAACCCAATACAGGAGCATCTCATTAACTCTGGTAACGTTATTCCACCTGAATCGTCCTTCTAATTTATTTAAATAGTCAAATGAATGAATCAAAAACGTGTGAACTGTTGAGACATTGGCAGTTCACCTATTCAAGCCTGAACCCTGCATGCAAAAACAATACGTTCATTCTCTCTCATTCTTCTGTAGCCCTAACATCCCTTTTAGTATATTTCGGTTTCGTTCTTTATTATATTCTTTTTACTGTGTCCTAATTTTTTCTTAATATGTAACCAGTTATTATTACGCTCTTACAATATTTCATATTTATTAATTTATTCCTTCCGATCATTAAGCTTTCATTATTTTCACGGTTCAGACAAATATGAGAGAGATAATTAGACCAGTTGCTAGAAATGGAAAAAATTGGAAATGGTACTGACAATTTAGATGGCGGGGTAATAGCAATTGAATGCTGGATAAAATGAACAAAGGAAAAAAACTAGGATGAGTGTTAAGACTAAGCATAAATGTAAGATTGGACGTGCACTACTTTTGCATGGAGTTCAGAATTTAACTGTTTTTCAGTTAAGGTTTCTGTATGACATACAGGTTATTATTAATTAGTTTGTTGGGATTAATGGTGTCGTTAGTTTTATATAAAGTGAGTCGTCTTAACGTATATTATTATATATTCTACCCTATTGGGATCGAGTCAATGTTGGTCATCAGTGGTCATCATCGGCTTTTTGATTCAACTCATCGTTCTGCTATATATATAGGGGATGACCGGGGACAGATGGGTGGGTTTTGGTAGCCTCTGATATTCAACAGTTCTGTCGACTTGTCACAGCTAATGTAGTACGTAGTACATATGTGCATCGATCCAAGCTGTCAGACCGAGTATATTACACTAACTGTGTTGCTCAGTCATATATAGTTATTGAATCATAGAGATATATGGTAGTTGATGTTATTGTAAAATATAATTCAGTAATAATGGTTTCTCTGAAATGACATTATATAACGATAGTTTGAGGACTGCTTATCATAATAGTTGGCATCCAGTTACTTTTTTTTGTTGAAAAATCTTCGAACTGTTATCTTACGAATTATTTTCTCAGTGGACACCACCTCAATATTTTTTCAGATTATTAATAGAACTGAGCAACCAGACATGGTAAATGAAATTGGTTTTCGTAAAATACCCCCGTTGTCTTACTAAAATTTCTCCGAAAATTAATTTCAAATGGCCAATTATTTCAAAATAAAATAAAATAATGGGAGAAGTAAGAAAATTAATCTCTTGGTGGTTAATAAAAGATACTCTGGTGTAATTAAGGAATATCTTGGAATCCTGATATAGGAAGTGTTTACGGCTCAGACACTTCACAAGCACCCGAATATATCCTATTCAACATCAAATAGTTATCTTATTTCCTTCATTTTTCCAAACTTTGTTTGATAGATTCACTCAAAACATTGCTTGTATATATTGTAACCATCGAGTTATCAATTCTGAGGTAAGATGCAGTGTCAGGTACGGATGATAAGTCGATTGATGAGGTAGTGAATTTATATCAACTGAGATGGTCGGAACATTTATTACTTATTCTTATTCACCACAACCTACTTCGATATAGAATGATGGGTAGTGTAGGAGTAAATTGGAAATCAGGGGTGGCCAAATTAAAATATGGCATCAGTCAATGAATACATTGACCACCAATTTTTGTTTTTGCTCTCTTTGAAATCCATTGACTGTTGGACCTATCTATGTTAATAGGTGTAGATTACTTGATTTCGGTGTATTTGACTATTGGTTAGAGACTTTAGGTAACATGGTTCGAAGTCCTTTGCAATGATTCAGGCACATCCATTTTTGTCTTCTCTTAGATCTCAAGTTTCCAAACGGATTCATAAATTGTTTATTTATTCCACTAATCCTTTTTTCGAACCGTATCTTCGTTACCTAATCTTTCCTATTACCATTAGCACTGTTATTACCTCTACTATTTGATTCGTTTTGACAATTTCATCTCACAACTTCAACCAACATACACATGTACCCGTTTTTTTCATTACGTATGGCCAACTGGTTGACTTCGTTTAATGTATTTTCGTAAGATGGTTTCGTTGTATTTTCAACATATCTCTATGGTAGCGTTATTTCTAACACATTTTCGTTTTTTCTTAGTTAATAACCGTATATCTCCAGTTCTACCACTATCCGAGGCTGAACGACGTATTCGAAGATTGAATGACTTACCAAAATTGATACAAGCAGAACGTGTAGTTATTTTACAGGCCAGTGCAGCACTACAACAGTGTGTCAGTATTCCTTTTCGTAAAAGTCCTGAAGACTTTGACAGAATACGTGAATTGGGTCCAGGTTCTCGGGTTCATGTAGAAGCTAGCAGAACGATGCTGATAGCTTGTAAGATTTTTATAACTGCTTTCTATATACTATACTATACTATACTATACTATACTATACTATACTATACTATACTATACTATACTATACTATACTATACTATACTATACTATACTATACTATACTATACTATACTATACTATACTATACTATACTATACTATACTATACTATACTATACTATACTATACTCCATGTTCGAACACCGCTCCACTTAAGTTTTGGCAACTAGGTGGTATCATTTAATTAATATCCAAGTACCTGATGAATGAGTTAGATTAAACATCTTAAATTCAACATGATTTCCTATCTATTTACTTATAGGTCAGCGTCGTCAAGTATTAATGGAAGAACTTGCATTATTGCATAGAGGCTCTCCAGTTCTTGTACCACCTACACGCGGTGATCCTATACGTGCTCGTATGAAACTAAACGCTATTCGTTTATCTCTTAAAACATCTAATATACCGAATGATCCTACAAGTGGAGGTGGCTATGTTGTTGTTGGTACTGGACGAGAAGCTGGTGGTTGGAATGTTCCTACTTTAAAATCTCGTCCTGACAATCAATTAGGCCAACCGACATGTTATCATTTAATTGGTATTATAAAGTAAGATCCGTTCATTGTTTATTATTATTATTTTCGTTAGTAGTGTGTAGCATCTTAATTGTATTTATTTGTAGTTCTAATGTGAATCGGTTAGTATGTAACACATCTTGGGATGTAGGTTACACAATGTTTAGTAGTTGTCTATCTCGTATGACAATCACTGCTATGTCTCCTTCTCGGACGAAACAACCATCCAATGCTTCCAGGTTTACACTGTTGGTCTAACTAAGATCAGTTTGTGATATAAACTGTGAAAATTCCACTATCTCCACAAATCCCCCTATTCTGGTAAGGGTAATTATTTTACCTCTACTAGATGGTTGTAGGCAGTGTTTGCAACAAACCCTAAACCTAGGTTTCGTGCTCGCCGACACTCGTCACCAAGGCTTACCTGTGATTTTGATGAAACTGATGCTTATTGGTGGGTTCGAACCCGACCCACCTAGTTTCACCATCTGTGACGTTACCATTACGTTATTCGGGTCACAACTGTATGGCTGAGATATATAAATTAATTAACCAGTGATTAGTAATCAGTATGTTCGTTTTATTCTTTTAGTAATGACTGAATTCTGTCAGCCAAGTTACCATATGTCTACTAGTCTAAGTAACAGTATATTGTATCTCTAATCGTCACAAATAATATGACACTTAAAACCTATTTGCAATAATATTTCTTCTATATTTTCTGATAATTGCTTAAGAATTAGTTGTAATTATTCAATGTATTTATCACAAGCATTTTAACACTTCGTTTATATTTGTATTTTAGATGCCGTGGTGAAGGTCGGTTGTATCATAGTGAACTAGTTACCTTAATGCATGTGAGCGACTTACCTGTGGGAATGTACCGACCTGCTCCTTATGTAGATTTGCCGGCAAAGCTAGAGGTCAGTACATAGTTTCTGTGCTGTTAAACAACATGTTTAATTAAAATTGACTTCAAATGTCATCATTGGCTACTTAATGGTTCCATGATACTCCATCAAATACTGTGGATTAAATAACTGAAATGTAATGAAACGGCTGAAATATAGTTATAAAACCTATTTCTTACAAATAGAGAATAGACAGTATCATATCATACTTATTATTTGTTAAGAAGTTTCGAATACATTTTAGGGTGCTATTAATGATATGTCATTCAAGCTGAAACCCTATTGGTAATTGGCTTGTCGAAACTAATGTAACTAATGAACAGTACAGAGCAGTTTCAGTGTACCGTGTTATATACGACGGAGGTATGAAACAAAAACTAAACATATTTATTAGCTCTTTTAAATCATTCACTTTTTAAACTTTTCCACTTGAAACTTAGTGAATCCTCGATATATACATAATATGAATTCCGCGTAAATTACATGTATATTTTATTGTTATCTTTGTGCAAAATCATTTATCCAATTCTCATTGTTCTTTTCATTATCATCCTTTCTTTACAGATTGTACCAGTTAGACCAGATTTTGTATTTCAATTAGAAATTTACTGTATGCGTACTGGAACAGATAGACCTATGAATAATTGTGCATATGGTTCACCTCGTATACTTGGAACATCATTAGTTTATGGCGATGATATTAGTAATGATAATGATAGTATGAATAGTTTTAAAACTCCACAGAATAAATTATTACATTTAAAGAATTCAACATCACCTGTTACTTCATCAAATCATAAGAAATCACGATATGGTCATACTTCCAATATTGAATTAACTCCTTGTGAATCAGCAAGTCATATTTTAACTCATTGTCTACCGTCAAGTTACTTTAAAACTACACCACATAGTAAAACTTATGATATTGATCATGGAAACAATAATGGACGTGACAAAATTGCTGGTTAGTTTTTTTGTTGTTGTTGATAGAAATAAACTTTTCATTTTATTATATGTAAACTGATTGTTGGGAAAAAGCACACAGTTAAATGTAATAACTTTGTAATGTGATAATTTCCTCTAGAGTTTACTGAGAATTTCCTTTTTTTTAATATGTTCCAATATTATTGTTTACTATTAGTTGTGATAATTTTCCAAAATATTTAGATAAATCATCATAATCATATTTGAAATAATCTCAGTGATTGAAATTTGAATGATTTCAAAGTTTCGTCCAGCAAACTTGTTTGGAATTCTTCAGAGTAATCATCAACATCATCGAAGAAGTATATGACTTTTTAACAATCAAATCAGATCAAATCTATACTGTGTTAATCCAATCATATTTGAGTGTTGATTTTAGTATTTATTTAAACACATAAATAACTGGTACAAGGGGGCACCAAATACATATGCGCCACACAAATCTCATTTGATTTGTGTGAGGGCTGTGATACTGCTCGGGTGCCCAAACCGAAGCAGGTGGTTTACTTAGGGGGCCACTCCCCGAGCCTTCGACCTGAAGGTCTGATCCACAAGGCAGTGGAGCATCGTAAGGAGATGCAGTCCCATGGAAGCCAGTGACCAACAATTGGTTCGTACATCATTCGTTCCTTTAGGATACTGGAGCCCATGTGACCATTGGTTTGGAATGAGGGTTTTCCAACTCCCCTAGTTGAACTCTCCATGTACACCAACCCGGTTAAAGCGCCGGAGTTTCGCTTTTCGTCCTCTCAATTTCGTAGGCGACAGTGAGTAGGACTAGCAGAAGCTATATTCGCGTGGTCATGTGAGAGCATTCGGGGAGGGAGAGCGGACTCTCCCCACTCGGCCGTACCAGGGCATTTGGGGGCAATAAACTGAGAGCCAGTTGCCTGCCGGAACCCGACAGGCGGCGACTGGATGAGTCAGTTACATGGGAATCGTGTGAAAATAAATGACTGAACAAGTTATGTGTCTATGTATGTATGTGTAAGATTGAGTTATTAATGAATGATATTCGATATTAATACGTTTTTATATGAAGGAAAAATAAAAGTACAAGTTGAAGGTTGCAAAAATTGCTTCTGAATAACCGATGTGCGAGTAAAAATGAGAATCATCAAATACATTATTGTGTTGCTTAAAATAACCCACATTAATTTCAGTCAAAATAACGATGCATATGAGGTTGAATAAATAATGGGTTCAATTACTTGTCAACGAATATTTAACAAGTAGTCGCTAGTTGAATAACATCCTTTCAGTTCGGACTGTTCTTGTTCACTCGTATATACAGCGCTTTTGTTGTCAGTCTTTCTTTATGAGTGTTAAAACCTTTCTGAAGTATTTTGTTCCCTTAAAAATTAATCTTATGTCCTGTTTCTAACTCATGTAACGCTATCGCAAACTTATTCTCAAGTTTCTTTAGGTCAACCAAGGATTTGGTAACATTTTTCTAAAACTGTTTGTGTTCCTTTAAATTCACATTCAATTGTCCGGATGTTTTTCCGATATAAGCTGAATTGCAATCATGACAGTTGATCTCATAGACAATAATTTTTTGTTCTTCTTTTGGGAACCTATCTTTAACTTTCACTAATGCCGATCTTATGGTGTCACACGCACGAAAATGCACTTACATCATCATACTATCTTGGCGATCTATTTCATGTACATTCATTTCGGTAGTTTAATTAGTAGAGGAACGTCGTTGTTTTTTTACTTAGCAGGGTTTCCTTGACGGATTCAGTCAGAGATAATAATCTACACATATTATTATCATCACTATTATTATTATTATTATTATTATTATTATAATATTTATTATTATCATTATCATATTTATTATTATCATTATCATCACTTTTATTACCGTCGTTATAATAATAATAATAATAATAATAATAATAATAATAATAATAATAATAATAATTGTTACCTTGTCACTAGACACGCATTTTGTCATATCTAATATATTGCCTCAAGAACCACTGCGATTCTCACAGCACAAAGTAAGAACACAAGGCTAATGCAATAAAGATTTATTCATTCTCTAAAAAACACATTCCCAAAGAACTCTTTAAATCACATTGTCATTAGACCGGAATACTACCATTTTTACACACAATAGGAAGGAATTACATAGAGTTACTGTAAAAACATACAATGAATATAGTTCACCTGAATTAATACAGGAAATGTACTTGTCACACCGAGTCAAAGTTCATTCTCTTGTCATATTGAGTACAATTTGTACTAACTTGATTCCAAAAATATTAATCTTAAAGTATCACATTAAACAAAGTTCACATTTGTCTCCCCGGCAGAAGCTTTTCTTGAATTGATTCAAAAAATATGAACCTAAATAATATCATCTTTCTTTATCTCGTCATATCAGTTTTCTTATACAAGGAGAGTTTTCTAAAGTCATTTGTATTTTCTAGGTTATTTGTTGTTGATAGAACAGTTAACATTTTGAGAGAATATCCTGTAAACAACACAGCTGTTATTGATTTTTTCACACTTATCAATAACTTCAGTTTAATATTAAAAAAAAGTGCTCTTCGGTAGATACAGGGATTTAAGCAAACAACTCTGGGTTAAGGTTTCGAGTTACTTCGAATTCATTGGCTTATAATGTATACATTATTATGGACACTGTTCATATCTGTTAATAGGAGGGAAATCAGGGTTATCTAGTTGATTTTGTTACTATATGTTAGTTCTTTAAAGAATAACTTCAGTGACATTTTCATAGTTCGTATTTCTGAAATCTCATTTACTGTTACATGATTGTTTGTCATCGCTTTTGATCTGCTACTATTATGTACTGCAAGGTCAATGGTTGATACCATAAAAACAGAGCTGTTCTTTTTTCAATTTGGCTTCTTTACAGAATATAAAATTATCCTGAGAATCTTCTGTATCTGTATTAGCGTGTAGAGTATTAACGTTGAATTGTTATATGACAGATTTCTAATCAGTTCGAGTTCCTATACCTTGCATCGTATTCAAAGAATCCTTAGTCGTTCGTAGTTTGAATTCGCCTTAGGCCAACTGGAAAACCCAATACTTTAATTGTTCTTGTGATGATACAACAACATCCGAGTACACAAAGTTATACTACTTGGTTTTATAATTCGTTGAATTATTCAAAAATGTATTATTTCTATATCTGCATAATATTTTTTAAAACCACTTTCGGATGATATAATGTAATACCAATACCACTACCACTACTAATAATAATGAATAAGAATGAAAAAAATTAGCTGACAATATTTATTCATAACTCATTCCATTGTTGTTTAATTGGTTCTGATAATAACCTGCAAACATAACGACGTGTTTAAATTTGGTTCCTGTTTTTTGCTTCTGATTGGTGCGAAATTTGACATATCTTACCCATTTTGGGAGGATAGTTGTTTTAACCAAATGTGGTTCAGAACAACGTTTTCCTTTCATCATTCTCACAGTTCCATTTCGTTCGTATTAGATATCACAAACTAATTGAAGTCAAAAATGTATATCACTGGATTTCCACAACGCAGTTGTAGTCCAAAAGTGTCTTACCACAATAGATTAAGGTTCTAGGTTTTTGTCTTGTTTTCGAGTCATTGGTGCCCAATTGTCAATCCCAAATAGACTCGAAACAACTTTTCAGTGCTCCCTGGTTCTCCAGATGACTTAAAGTTTCCACAAGCCAGCTGTTTAAATAATGATGATAATAATAATCATGGTACTTAGCCTCGCAGTCGATTGTTACAACACATGATACCAATGGAGTTCAACTATATTTTGAGTAAGATACTCATCACCAGTTACACTAGACTGTTTTTACATCACAGGTGGTCAAAAGTTGTTAATGTTGGATCTTTAAATATTTCAATTCATTCGTTTGCTGGGATCATGCTTGTCATAAGGCCAGTAGTAGATACTGGTTTCGATAAGGAATACATAGTTAATTTATCAATACAATCCTATGATTATTATAACAGTCAAAATGCTTCATTACGAAATTTGAAGGTTGGCGATCGTTGTTCTGTTGTGAAATACCACTGCTACAGTTTAACCTTTTAATTCTCATTTAATTACGCAATGTATTGTCATCATTATTTTCCGATGTATAATATAAAATAACCAGTTTTATTTAAGATAATCTTTCAATTTTTTCTTTTTTGTTAGCTTTCTCCCTACTTTCCACTGTTGAAATTCTTTATCATGATGACTTATTGGTTGGTTACGTTTATCCTTCAATGCATGATAAATCTCATCCCAATTCTACTTCTTGTTCAAGTGTTTCTATCAATAAAACTGAATTGAATTCTAATCGTTTACCTCTACGTTTATTACATTTACCTCGTTCTACTCCACTAGCTGGAACTGCTGGTCTTGTTGATGCTTTTGTTAGTTTGGAAGCAAGAGTATTAGCTCGTGGTTTTATGGTAGGTTGCAAAAATAGTTTTTTTTTAAGAAAAATAATACTTTACGTTATAGACTGTTTTCGAAGAGATTGGTGGAATGGGTGTATGGCAAAGGTATTGGTGTCAGCTACGAGCTGATTATCTACATTTTTGGCGATATCCAGAAGATGAACAACGAGCACATTCTAACAATGCAGTTAATAACAAACATTTACATCCACCATTGGGTAGAATCGATTTACGGCATATTGTTACACCTGGTGCTGTTATAGCACCTCGTTCTATTTGTGCTCGTTCAAATACGATTTATATGCGATCTCTTCGTGAAATTGATCCCAATTGTTTATCAGCTTCTATCAATAATAATAATAATACTAATAGTAATAGCACTACATCTGGGATTGTTAATAAAAAGAGGAGTTCAAATGAAAGTCTGATATTCCGTGCTTCTACTGATTATAGATGGTTGGAACAAAAGTGAGTTTTTTAAGGTTTACTCTTTAGAAATAATTATTTTTCTTAATATATCTATGTTCACTTAAGAAGAATACGATTCAGTGATTCTAATCAAATTCTGTTCACATCTGTTTTGTGCATCTTGGATGCTATTTCTGACTCTCTCTATATATGATTTGCTACTAGTTGTATAACGATAGACAGTGTGTTTGTTGTGATCTTAGAAATCTCTATATCAATTACTAATGCTGATCTAACTCCAGATACATGAGTAAAGAAGATCAAGGTAGAATGGGGATTTCTATTGTTAAAAACATAACAACATTGCTTACAACTCATAAATGTTTTTATGTTGGCCAGATTGACTCAGGTGATTTGTAAGGGGAGTGAGTAGTTTATGTATTCTCAAAAGGGCCGGTCCACTTTTGTCTTTCATATATCATGCTGTTTTGAGACATTGTTTAATTTGTCTGACCTCGTTTAGCGTATCAGTGAAATAAATTGTTGACTAAATCTTTATGTTTTTCATTTATTAAACTTATTAATGGTTCCTCAATCTGAAGCTAATTCTCATCATGGACTTTTTATACCCTAAGAATTATCGGAAGTCATCTAGCTCTGTGTTGTCTTAGTTCGAGACTATTATTATATGACTCATCACGCTTGTAGTTAAAACCATACTCTGTTCGATTGGTCAATACAGCAAAAGTCACAATCAAGTCCATGCATTCACATTTGATCTGCATTTCTAAAAATAATATTTAATGATATCTCATTTCACTAACCAAACCGAATTAGATGGAACGGAATTCGAACCCGCAACTTTGTGCCTGAAAGTCAATCCAGTTAACTGACTTACTGCCCAAGTGTGACAGGGCAATTGTCTAGCACATTCTGTTTTGCATAGAATTTTCTTTCATCTAATAATGACGCAATATCAATTGGATAAATTTAGATATCTATAAAGATGTAATTATTTTTCGGTTGTTTGAAAATCATTCAGTGTTGTATTCTCTTAATTTTCTAGACTGAAGGTTTTAATGCTCAGCGAATTACACTTAAAACACTGGATTAAAATTTCAATTTAGGAACTTATTGCGCCAAAAAGTTATTCCCTTATTTTTCTTATTGTAGACTTTTTTTGATAGTTTGCACAACATTTATCCGCTCATTCTATAAGATAAATGATCTAATGGTTACACCACTCACGCTATTAGGGGTAGGTTACAGGTTCGAACTCTTGAAAAATACCTACTTCATTTTAGTGTAGTTACCAGGTAATGTTTGCACTAGCTCATGTACTTACATTGCGCCTCAAAGCAGAGTACATAAATCTGGTATATAAGTAGTTAGACTTTGTGTGTGTGTGTGCATATATTCAATCGACATTTTCAAATTTAAGTATTTCAAGTTTTGTTTTGCTTTATCTATCCAATTTTCTCAATTTCGACATAGACATTTACTTTGTGCTGATACATCACAAGAACGTGATGCTTGGATTACATGGTTAAATGGTTGTATAGAATCTTTGAAAGATTGGATGCCAGGACATTTCAATTGTTTATCTCGTTATGATGCTCAATTAGAATTTAATCAACCAGTATCATCTCAACTGGGTGCTTTGTTAATTCACGGTTTACCATCACAATCATCATCATCATCATCGTCATCTTCACCGGTATTAACCAAATAAACATTGTGTGACAATAATACATAAATTTAAAAGTGTTATCGCCACATGTGCTATTTTTCTCTCTTTTTTTTTCTCTTCATTAATCTATTGTGTTGTACACGCAAAGCTGATTGTTTCAATACATCATTTTTATTCTCTAAATTTAATTAAAAAAAAGAGTTCCTAATATACTTAATGTACTCTCTCTTTTATTTCAAGTACATACCCCATTTTAAATTGATTTCTCTTTGTATATACATACATATATATATATATATAAATCTGTGTATTCGTTGCTTCTCTTCCTGATTTACATTGTCAACAGTAATGAAAGTAGTTTGATTGAACTATTGTTTAAAAGATAGTTTTCTTCTTCTTCTCTCTGTTCATTATTAGTGCTTCATTTCATCTTGCCTATTTTCTATTTCTACACTTAACATTTCTCTATATAACATTCATTTCTCTAACATTTATATGTTGTGTCTTGTTTTTATTGACAAATATATACAATAATATAGTACAGTGTTATTATTCTTCAATATAAATAATTTATAGGCATGTCCAATAAAAATGCGAACTGACCTACTAGGGTTGTTAGTTATGAATAGAGTTGAGCAAACAATCTGTTAAATTTGTGTGCAAAACATCAACTTTCTTGTATCAGTGTAATTTTGATAGTCCCTCTGTACTTAAGTACTATTAATCTGTGAATTTTGTCAAATCAGTTATAATTGTTCGTGAGTAATTTCAGTTACCACGAGGCCATCGAGAAACCTGACTTCTGAGATCTACCAAGGATGTTTTAAACAATCGAAGTCGTATTATATTGCGTTCAATTTTGCAATGAATGTCCTTGTGATCTCAGTTCGCGTATTTATTGGACAAATAGTTTTTTTTTGGGGGGAAACATTTTGTTTGTTGTTTGATTTCATAATTGTCGTCAATCAACAAGTGAATAGTTTTTTTAAAATTTGTTCACTGAAGACAAGTTCATATTCAGTTCTTTGATCCGATTGTCACCATCTTTTATTAATCGTAAACTTACATAATGGTTCTTAATGTAATACTTGCAGTCCAATCGTCTTCTGGAATATTACTTACTTACTTACTTACGCCTGTTACTCCCAATGGAGCATAGGCCGCTGATCAGCATTCTCCAACCCACTCTATCCTGGGCCTTCTTTTCTAGTTCCATCCAATTCTTGTTCATTTTTCTCATGTCTATCACCATTTCCCGGCGTAATGTGTTCTTTGGTCTTCCTCTTTTCCTTTGACCTTCAGGATTCCATGTGAGGGCTTGTCTTGTGACACAGTTGTGTGCTTTCCTCAATGTGTGTCCTATCCACTTCCAGCGCTTCTTCCTGATTTCTTCCTCCACTGGGATCTGGTTTGTTCTCTCCCACAGTACGTTGTTGCTAATAGTGTCCGGCCAATGGATCTGAAGTATTTTGCGTAGACAACTGTTAATAAACACCTGTATTTTCTGGATGATGGCTTTTGTAGTTCTCCAGGTTTCTGCCCCATATCTTCTGGAATATAGCATATGCATAATCCATATTGCTCATTTCCCGCTGTCACTTTGAGCCAAAACTAGAATGACTACAATCATGACTGAGATAGCATTGCCCCAAACTGATCTCCACAGAGCGCCTGACAAACACAATGTTTGTGTTCTTACCATTGAATAGATTCAAGATGTATTCTCGAAACTTAGGAGAATTTGTGATTGATGATTACTTAGTTACTCAGTTCCTGAATTTTTATTGAGAAGCCATGATCAGTGTAGTCCATGTTGTGTGTTAAGCAATTACGTTAAAAATGTTAATCATTGGATACTCGCTCAGAGATCTAAGGATCATGTGCTCGCTGCGAAGTCCGAAAGTCCAGGGTTCGATTCCGAGTTGGTTTTGTGGGTTGGGCCTTTAAATGAGTCATATCGTAAGACCTAATAACTCCAGTGTTCCCTCATTTTCCATAGTTTACCAACCGAGGTCGTTGCCTGGTGTAAACTAAAAGACTCAACAACAGCCTTCATAAACCCTTCAAACAAGTAGATGCTTTGTTATTTATGGTACCTAGCAGCTTGAGAGGAAGGTATGTTTTAACGGTATACAGAGATGTTTTGCATCTCCATCTAGCTGTTGCAATGCATTAAATCATCCAAAAATTAAATCTTGAACTTCCTTTCCTTACTGCATGCGAATAATCCGACAAGATTTCTTTTTAAATAGATTTTACAATACTGGTAATTGGTCACTGCCGCGCTAATAAAAGCTGAAAATGAATAACGGTGAATTTAGTTTGCTGAGTAGTTTTTCATCACAAACAGATTTCAGCTAGACAATCCCGGGAACTATCGTGTCAATGGAAATCGGTTTTGTGTAGTTAACCTTTACACATAATTGTGTATATTACAGCTTAGTGTATAAGACTATAGATAGACGGTAATCAATTACATTATCCACCAATTTGTCCTAATAACAAAATGTATAAAGTTGGAGTTAACTAAACACACAATATTCAGTATACTCAGTATATGTATATACATTTAGACATAATTACTTCATAACATTACTGAAATGGATGTAAGTGACAGGATTTGTAATTTTGTTCACCATACAACTAATCCTTCAATCTCAACACTGCAAATAACTTTTGGTTGACAGAACCATTAGCTTAATGATTTATTTTATGAATTCAAGTAGTTAACTTAGTATAAAAGATATTAAATAACAGAAGATCAATAAAATAATGAGTGCAAGGTGACAGTTACACTATTTCCTGTCTAAAATATCATTTCCTATAATGCATTTCACTCGAATTTATGAAGATATGAATAAGAATAAGCTGGGGATAAAAAGTGTATCCCAAGAGAGGCCGAAATTAAAGCACAAAGTTTCTTTAAAATGTTATAGGGTAACCTTGCATCTACTGGGTCTGTTCACCAGGTCTAATTAGTAGGAAAATCATAAGTCAACATTGTTAGGCTTCTCTTGCTTTTCTCATGAAACCATTGGTGATCTACCTAAAATTAGATAGTGATCTTTCATTTCGACCCGTTGTAACAATATAAATATATGCTTATTCGATGTGGTTGAATGTATGGATACTTACTATATTTAGGTCAGTTAGTCGCAACGTAGAACATGGTATGTATGTACAGCGCTTCAAGTTTCTGTATCCGATTATCAGAGATACGAAAATTTTGGGGCATATCTCAGAGTAGTAGAGGCAGTAACAGTATCATTGGTAATAGAAAATATCAGCTGTCGAATATAAGATTCAAGAAAATATATATTAGTGAAATAAAAACGAGAAATCCAGAAGTTTAGAATTTGAGAGAGAAGACAGAATGGATGCACCTGCATCATTGTAAACCATTTCGAGCCATGTGACCCAAAGTCTCTAAACTCTGGTTACGATAATTACATGGACTACAATCAAGTAATATACACCTATTAACATGACTGAATCCGATAGTCATTGTCTTCATGGACTGATACCAGGTTTCGATTTGGCCTCTCTTGTCTTCCTCACAACCTACCACTACACCAGACAACATGTCGGGGTAGTCAGTGCTTGAGTGTACGTTACACATGTCCAGGCCACCTCATTTGATGAAAATTTACTACCTGATCAATCGATTTAGCAACATTACCTAGTAGAGTACCCTATTTGGAACTTCGACATTACTGACTCGTAGTTCCCAAATACACGAGTGATGCTTGGAAGACGCCTATGATCGAATATTAGTAACGTGCGAATATCTACTATTCTTAGGGGAGGGGAGGATATTTGACACTGACAAAGTAGAACGCAGCGAACCGTTGTGCAGTAAACTCATCGTTTTTGGTCGGCAGATTGTTATCTCACCTATGCCAAAATGACACAAGTTGATAAAAATCAGTCGAGTCTTATGAACCCGTGGCGTTAACGCAACTTAACCCTAAATCAAAATTTTAAATGATGGGGTATACAATTACATTCCGATGATTCTTGCATTGTTTGTTAAGGTGGTTAGAAGACTCTGCATATGGGAGTTGAATCATTATTTGTCTTAAAAATAGATTTTTATAAGTTGTACAAGTTCAAATAGATTCTCATTTTGTGCTCACTTGTACTTGCTTCAGAAGGAATACTCAAAGTTATAGCAAGTCACTTGAACTCATTGATTTAAAAGTAACGTGCTTACAATGGAGATCTTGACTACACGTTAATTATAATGATACAAATGTCTTATATCTCATATGCTCAATGATTTGTCAGTTATCAGTGTGTGACTACAATAAAACCTCAAATAGTTATTTTTTTCTTATTATAAAGCCTAACTGAATTTATTTGACTTTTGGGTATGCACCATTACATCATAAGTTATCATTTTTGTTTTCATCTATTTCAGTGTATTAAATGATCAATGTTTTTCTAGTTTATCTGTCAATCTTCAACATCATCATCGAGTTTGATTTAATTTGGATACTTTAAAAATACTAATAATGTCTCAGTTATATTTAAGCGCCTCACCTTCTTCTTGTTCCTCTTCGACATTATCATTGTCTTGTTCTATCTATGGATTTGTACAATGTATTAGTCGAAAATTTCTTATCAAAAATAAATATACTATATTCATTAAAATCACTTCAAATTCAGATTGTTTTTATCATTCTATATATAATGTAATTATTCAATGGAATGTAAAAGATGATAATAATACAATGATTGAAGAGAAATGCTTACAATTTTTACATCATTGTCCAATAAGATGTTGGATTTCTATACATAATTTAAAAGAAAGTCGAATCTATTATAAACAGGTAAACAGTTTTCTTATGGATTTATTCAATATAAATAGTTTTGTGGTTTTATGTTTATTCGCCCTCTCCCGCCCCCAAAATACCCTGGTACGGTCGAGAGTGGAGAGAGTCAGCTCTCTGTTATATTTAGTCGTCACTGATTGTTGTGCCGGAGAACTCTGATCACTTATACTCGGAACGAGGGACCTCGGTAATTCCCACGATGCGAAAGTAAGAAAATAAGACTGGTATAAGTAAAGATTTATTAGCCCCAAAACACTATGACGACGTTGATGATGGTGATAATAATAATGAATGAATAATAATGGTCTAAAATACACTGGTTTATATAATGATTGTACACCCATTCTGATTAATAATTAGGATTAAATCACATACTCAGTTATAACAAATCACTTACTGAGCATAGTTCGTGTCAACTGAATACAAGAATATCGTATATTATACAGAAGAAAATATCATACTGGAAAAACAAACCAAATACTACACTGAATGATCCTCACGTTGAATCAAAACGGTTGTTGAATGTTGAATAAAACTCATAATGAGTAATTCAATCGAAAATTGTCTTTTCTTTCCATCATCTCTCTCTCTCTCTAAATCCTTTCACATGGCCACGTGGATACAACCACTGCCACGAAAGTCCTACTCACTGCCTTCTCATGGTGGGGGTTGTTGTTTACGAAATTGAGAGGAAGCAAAGCGAATGTTTAGCGATTTAACCGGTTGGTAGATATGGAGGGTCCACCTCGTTGAGTTGGAAAACCCTGATTCCAAACCAGTGGTGTACATGGACTCCAGTATCCTAAGGAAACAAATGGCATATGAACCTATTGTTTATAATT